CAGCACAATACATGCAAACACATGCACATACACACACAATACACACGATACATGCAGACACATACACACAATACATGTGCACACAATACAGCACACACATACATATGCACACACACATGCACGCACACACAGAGCCACTCCAGTTATGCTGTACGTGGTAAGAATAATGGTCACTAGTCAATGTATTGATTAGGCAATGAGTCAAAAGAGGAAAAAAGACTGCCCGCCCTTGGACTTGGTCAGCAGCCCTGAGTGTTGTGAGACCATGATCCTGGCTCTGATTCTGCTGGGACAGCTGCTTTGGTAGCCCCCACGGCCCTCAGCCTCCATCCTATAGACTAACTCATGGTCACATCCCTGAAGATGCTCACAAAACACTGGAGGGCGAAAGATGTGTTAACAAGGGAGTACAAAGGGGAAAGGGGAGGGAGGGATAACAGAGGGGCTGGGGATTAACAGACACACACGACTATACGTAAACTAGATAAACAACAAGGACCTACTGTACAGCACAGGGAACTATAGTCAATACCTTATAATGGCCTAGAATGAAAAAGAATCTGAAAAGAAAATGTATATATGTATATATATAACTGAATCACTTTGCTGTACACCTGAAACCGCCACTGTAAATCAACTACACTTCAATAAAAAATTTTTTGAAAAAGGAGTGCAGGTGAGGGTGTTTACGGGCTGTGAGGGAAGCACGGTGTGTCTGCACAGCAGCGAGGAGCCGCCTCCACCCCAGGGATCTCCGGACGAACTTGACAGAAGAGGTGGTGGTGAGCGGACCGAGGGGAACACACTGTCCGCGGGTCAGCGAGCGGGACACCCGGCTCCAGGCGGAGGAGGGCGTGGGCAAGGCCAGGGCCATCCTTTCCTCCCACTAAGAACAGACCCTGTTTATTCACCTCTGCAGCCCCCTCAGTGCCCACCTGGTACCAGAATCTGGCCTTACTGGAAACTCAATAAATTGTGGCCAAAGGACTTAAATCCAATATATGAGCTGTAACTTCCAACATGTATGGAATGCCAGTGAGCCAGCCTGAAAAGTGTTCTCCCTGTGCCTTCAACACTGAGCTGGGCCAGAGACAAAGTATCGGGACAACAGTATTTATCCCATACAATCAGAAAGCAAAATTCACTTTACTGGAATATAATTTACCAGAAATACACCTGGATACACACTCTTCAGTTTAAAAAAGAGAAATCATTACTTACCTATATCATTTTTCTTAGATATACCACTTTTCTCCAAATTCTGTATTTTAAATAAAAGAGAAAAAGATCAGTCTCGTCACATAACAAAACTAGCAATACATCTATGTATAAATAGATATGTATGGTACATGTTAACATTTGCAGGGGAGACACTGAAAATGAGAGCTTAGAAAGGCTTCCCTAAAGAAACAGACCAAAATTAAAGGAGAAAAGGCAGCAACGATGCACTTCTGTATCACAACGTAAGGTTCTGATGGGGCCTCTCTTCTGTGATCTTGGGCAAGTCACTGAATTGAGCTGAGGCTCCTTCCTCCAGTGTAAATGGCTCACAGTGTTTGGGGGAGGGTTGGCTTAAAAACCCCGTAAACGCCAAGCACGGCAGACACATCAGAGGTCGCGCCAGCCCTGGCTGCGTGGTCCTCGTGGGGCTCCGCTCACTACTGTGTTTCCCATCTTGGAGGCTCAGACATGCCGTCCTCGAGAATGTTACTGTGATGCCGTCTCCTACCTGAGAAGCGGCCCTGGGAGCCAGAGCAGGGCCCCAGAGGTGGTCAGCCCGGGGTGAACGAGATCTCACCAGCACAGAGGCGCGTGTCTTAGAGCTGCAGAGCTCCAGGCACAGAAACCCGGATGTGGGCACAGGAACCCCGATCCTGATCCCGGGTAAGTCGAGGGAGGGGCTCTTCAGGGACCCCTCCGACAAAGCACACAGTGTCAGCGTGGAATCTGCCACTTGCATTGTCTTCTCTGGCAGAGAGATTTTCTCTCTAATTGCCCCCTTCCATTTTCAACCACCATACGCTATAATTACGACAATTGGATGGTGGCAAATATCCTCCAGTTTTCCGCACAGACTGCAACAAGAAATGCAGTTGTGAGCCTCTATCAACAAAACTGGAACAGCTTAAAAGCCAAGACGCAGCTGCAGAGACACATCCTCTAAGGATGCCAGCAGGGCTGTGCCAACGGCGTGCAGAGAGAAACACAGCGCAGTGGCCACCTTTGGTGGCATTTTCTGAAGTTATCTTTATCTCAAGAACAGAAATACCACCGGGTCAAGAGGGACCTCACAGTCGCGTCCTGATCTCCACCTCAGGATCAAGTGACCCTACTTAACCCAGATAAAAACACACACTTTTTGGAAGAGCCACTAAAAAAGACTGAACAGCCCAAGCCACCTGTCCACGTGACCTGAAGCAAAGCCAAGCTGTCACCGAAGTGAGCACGTGGGGACTGACTGCCGCTCTAGCCGGGGAAGGTGCCCTCGGTGTCCCCGTCAGCCTGCAGCAGAGAGGCCATGGCTTTGGTGGCCACCAGATGAGGATCGTGGAAAACTGGAAATTTTAGATCTAAAAATAGTCCTGGAATGGATTTTTAAAATGTGGTCCCTCCATACAGTGGTATATTATTCAGCCTGAAATAGGAAGGAAATTCTGATACATGCAACACCATGGATGAACCTGGAGGACGTTATGCTCAGTGAAAGAAGCCAGTTATAAAATGACAGACACTGTATGACTCCACTTAAGTGACAGCCTAGAGTCACCAAATTCCTAGAGAGAAAGCAGGATGGTGCAGGCCGGGGCTGGGGGAGGGGAAGGGAGAGTTGCGGTTTAACAGGGACAGAGCTTCAGTCTCGTGGGGTGAAAAGTGTTCTGGAGACTGCTTGCTCAACAGTATGAATATACTTAACGGTACTGAATTGTGCACTTAAAAATGGCTAAAATGGTCAATTTTATGTTATGTATATTTTACAATTTTTAAAAATAGCATGGGAGATGATTCAATCCAACACTCGCCTTTTGCAAATAAGACAAGGGAGGCTCAGAAAAGATACAGGATTTGCCCAGTGTCCACGAGTCACTCCGGCCACAGAAGCAGGATTAAAATCCAGGTCTGTGAGCCTTCCGGGGTTCCTTCCTTACACTGCTGGACGTTGCATGCCCAGTGCTACTGCAGAGGCCTGCTTCGGACGACATGCCTCATTAGATGGAAACGTACTTGGAGAGTAAGCTCAAAGTAACACCTGCCACAAAAGTCACCTTCACCCAGAAGCTGAATATAAAAAAAACCCTGAACTCAACGCGTCCAGACTAACTTAAGCTTAGAACAGGAACCGGACTTTCTACCACATGCCTTTGTGAAAACAAAGACGATCAACCGAAATGACATGGCTGTCTGTTTGTTATTAAGCACTGCGGCTCCGACTGCCTGACACAATTTTGAGCTAGGAAATGATTAGCCATTTCAAACGGCTCAATTTGTAAACTGTAAAAATGAAACATCCAAGGAACAGCTGCATTAGGTGAATTGAAACAGAACCAAAAATGGTCTTCAGTAATCTCCCCTTTGAGAAAGAAAATTAGACCAAATGAACGAATTGACAGAACATTTTAAATTGTCTCCAGCTTCCCTTGTGAAAAGGTTTAGTTCTTCCTAAAGAAGACAGAAACACATGGTTTGTTTTATTATCTCTGCTTCCCCATGTTTCTGACACAATCAATATCAATCAAAATGTGCTCTGTCAAAGGTTTCTAAGTCAATGGAATTGCTACTCAGAGAGGAGAGAGACAGATGTGCTACAAGTGCAGCTCCCCACAGACAGCTCCCACCCTCACTGGGAACAGACAGGTCCAAGCCACCCTTCCGTGCAGGTTTTATTTTTAAGGCACAATAGAGTTGAACACTTGCAATCCGTACATGTGATGCCCAGTGTGTACATCCTTCACCAAAAGAAGATAAAACAAGCTCAGAAGAATTTGCTATGAAATGTTTTAAGAAGAAAGAGAGGTAAAATGGCATCTTCTACCAGGTTGCAAACAGCCCCCTGCCCCGCCCCCCGCCCACATTTTGGATGAAATGAACTCATCAGACGCGTCCGCCAGCGCACTCAGCTGCAAGCTGGTCCCGTGTTCTAATTCTGCCTCCACCACTCACTAGCTCAGGCCTCAGGTTCGGGAAAACTGGAATCATAATTACAAGACCTACTGCACAGGGTTGCTGTGAAGGTTCAGTTAGACAGTATCATGTCTGCCCAAAGCAAATGCTCAATCGTGTGCTCCTGCTCCCTTTAAACAGTCATCCGCATCACCCGTGTCACGTGAGGCCCGCGACCGCCACGGAAGAAACTTAACTGATAGAAGTAGTAAGGTCTATGGCTCCTCTTTTCACTTTGATTTATGTAGGTTCCTCCCAAAACTGCATAAGACACTTCTTGTTGTCATATCTAGTAGACATTTAAATAGGGACCCGCACTGCTCTAAGTGGTGGACACACAACACAACACACACACACACTTAATCTGCAAAAGAGCTTTCTGAGGGAGGTCCCATCACCTCATCGTCCAGACGGACGAGGAGGCTGAGCACAGCGAGGTTCTGGGACTCCTGCAGGGGGTCAGAGTCGGGAAGGGCTGTGAACACCGCCGCCTGGCCCCAGGGTTCAGCTCTCAGCCTACGTCACTCAGGACCCAGTAACTCAAGCTACCACAGGGTGTGAGGCCAGGCAAACCTGCAGGCTGAGGACAGGTATGGGGCTTGGCTGAGGCAGCACCCAGAGCCTGAGCGCCAGCCTGAGAGGGCAGGCTCCCCTGAAAGCCGGGGCAGCTCAGAATCTGGGCAGTCCCAGGGCCAGGTGCCCAGAAGAGGAGCCTGGCCCAGAGCTCAGGCCCCAGGCAGGACGGCAGGGCACGGGCAGCTCTCAGGATTTGGGCGCAAAGCCACCAGAGGCCAACCAGCGTGTCTGACCACTGTCTGGGGAAGGACCTGCCCTGGGCAGGGCTGCCCGAGTTCTGGAGAACTCCAGACTGCACAGATGTTGGACAACACTGGACAAACCGCTTCTTCATCGCCCAGTCTTGGGATGGGCTACAGGGGACACTTCATCACTGCCTCTCCTCATGGGCTGAATGGCTTGTTGGTTCTGTGACCTAAGCACAGATGGGGTTAATGACATTTTTCAAGGGCTTTAATATCTGTGTGTGAAAAATGACACTAAGATACAGGACTCACCTTACCTACCTCTATTTATATTTATATATGTATTTGAGGCAAAGAATATATGTATTTCTTCTTTTGAAAAGATTATTTAAAACCTATATTTGAAAGTAGGTGCTCTAATTTCTAAATTCACCACACAAAATATTAATTCCCCATTAATAACCCTTAAATTCATTATAAATGAGCCTCATTATTGCCAAATACGCACACACACACACACACACACACACACACACACAGCTATGTACTATAAAATCACAGTGTGAAAAATTCAAGTATTTGGAAAATTTGGATTCTGACTTCACCTTTCGACCTCAATCAAATTACTTAACTTCTCTGAGGGTAAATGTTTTCTGCTATATGTGGGAATATCTGCTTTGCTTAGCAATAACACGATCATTCAGAAAATCAAATTAAATGAAATGTCTGAAAAGGCTTCATTAACCAACCACAAAGACTCTTAAAGCCGTAAGGAATTATTATCATCATTTCCCTAGCGCAGGAATCCCACGGTGTAGTTAGAACAGATCACACTCTGCTGAAAAAAGAAACATTCCATTTAAAAATGCTTTTATACCAATTATGTGGGAAAAAATACAGTCAACTGAGCCTTAATTAATATGACAGAAAACAGCTCATATGTTTAAAATATTGTTTCTCTTTCTCATGTGCCAAACTGATCTAATGCAACCCCAAATGGCAAAATTTAGACGCAGTTCTTGAATGCAACCAATGATCAAGAAGGGACAGCTCTGAGATTTGGGTAAGTGTTGTCCCCTCTCCGTCGGTCCCCAGGTCTCAGTTTCTGGTTCTGACTGTGCAAGGAGCCTGACAGCCACCTTTAGGGGTCTCCAGGCCGGTTCCCAGGATGTCCTCTCAACATGGTGCCACCTTCAAGGTGAGGAACAGCCCAAGGTTAAGTTGTGAAAGACTGGAGAAGACTATGGTATCCAGGCAAGACTGCTAAAATGTCTAGCTCCATACCAAAGCACCTTTTCTCTGAAAATGGAATTGAAAGCCTAGTGGATCTGCCTTAACTATTAAAGGGCTTTTTTAAGCAAGCCTATTTGTGGATTGCTGCCGTGGATTCAAAATCTACATTGACCAATGATTCATTTAAAAAAAAGAAATCTGGTAACTATGGAAACATGAAATCATTGCCGCTCCCATTAAAGAAAATACAAACAAATCTCACATAGGAAGAATGGATTTGATCATTAGACTTGTACCTTAGACTGCTTGACCTCTTTCTTTATATCTTCAGAAACCAAAGCAAAAGCTGGAAAAAAACAAAAAGAAAGAAACATTTCTACATTAAAATTAACAATTAAGATTCATTCTCACATTAAACGGTTTTCCTTAAAATGAGGAAAAAAAATACTTTAACAAGATTCGTTTTGCTCATTTTTGAAAGCAGTGGCACTGCTGCAAGCTGGTGCCCAGGCCGCCTTTACCTCCGGACCTAAGATTATCCATCAGTGTGAGGCCAACATGCTTGGGCTACCAAGCTAAGGAAAATGGACAGCAAAGGAATTATCTATAATTATAAACCACAGGACAGACGCATACAAACATACGACTTCTCAGAAACCTTGATTCTGGTACCTTCTTAAGCAAAGAGGAATTCCTGAGAATCCGGCAAGAAGAAGCACAGATTCCCACCCTCTCATTCGTGCCAGAGCCTGGCGGGCAACAGAGCTAAACCTGGGGCAAGTTTTCCACCTCGGGGGTTGTGGGTGTGGGGTCTGCAGTGCGGTGCAGATACTGCTCCCAGCTCGCAGGGGAGAGATAAGAGATCCCTACTAAAGCCACAGGGCCAGGGGAGCTGGAGGAGTTAGGACCATCCCCTGCTCAGAATGATTTCATGTTTTGAGTCGGAGCCCATAAACAGGCAAAAACATCCCTAGAGACAAAACTAGGCTCTACATTAAAAATAATAATAATAACCTGATGGTATCATTTTGAAAATATAAAGCAAAATGATAAATGAAACAGGAAGGGTAACCAGACCAAAAAAAAAAAAAAGCTTAATTTTACAGTGCATTTCCCCTGAAGGGCTAAAAGGAAAGCGTTTCAGAGTTTGCTTTCTCCAGTTAGTGTTCCCAGGAGAAGACGTGCAATGCCTTAGAGCAAAAAGGTGCTGAAAGGGCTGGACAGGTGATTCCGGCAGCGGTAACACAGCAGAGGGAGCGTCAGTGCCGGGGCTCCCAGGGAACAGAGGAGGAGACGGCCCCCGCCTCAAGTTCCCTCTCCATTAACATCTGCTCGAAGGAAATAACCTAAAACAGAGTCACACTAAGAAGCAAATGACTAACAAGGGTGAATCAATTCCACTTCCAGGATGACATTTCGGAAGGCAGGTAAAATCCAAACGGAAGCCGAATGAGCCTCTATGTGAACCTCGATCCCAGCAGGTGCTGCACGAGGCTCCCTGAGTGAATCCCCACCGCCACCCTCCGACCCTCTGCTCTGCTTTATGTTCCTTCAGAGCACCTCCTGCTGCTGACACAATACACGTTCACGTGTTTATTGCTTATCTTAGTTTAGCGCAAGCTCCGTGAAGGCAGGAGTGTGGTTTTATTTACTGGTTGCCCCAAATCAGAAGCAGCTCAATAAACATTTATTGAATGAATGAATGAATGGAGTGAGCTCGTCTCCAATCCATCACTGAAGGGCTGTCCCCTCCTTACACTCAACATCGCCAACCCAGTAGACTGAAGTTTAGCACCCCACTCAGTTTGTGTTCACTAGGATCTGATCTGCTTTCTCACTTTTTACACACACGTGCATGCATAGCACACACACACACACCCCAAGGCAAATGCAAAGTCCAATCATTTACCAAGTCCCAAGAAGAGAGGACGGATTTAACTTCAAACATCATTTAAATTCTCCTTCTGGGTATTTAATCTTTCGATATTGTTTTATTTATCTCCAAGCTAGTGTGCACATTTAAAACCCTCAACAAGATCTTAAAAGTAGAATTATTAATAAACATCATATAGGGAGGTTGCAGCATGTTAACACTGATCAGCACTACAGAATTCCAGAAAACAGAACATTCCAATAACTTGCAGGATCTAAAAACTGTGGTCAATCTAATATAGGACTTGAGACTCAAAAGTCTATCTGCCCCAACCCACCACTGCCTAATTCCAAACATGGACAGTCAAAGCTCTCTGGGTTAGAATTTCCTCCTTTATTAAGAAAAATAACCCTCCCAACTTAATATGTTCAGTGACTTATCAGCTAATACCCAGCATTTACTCTTAACCTCACTTTTTGGCAAGATCAGTTGGCCATGTGAAAAATAAAAGTATGTCCACACAAAAGCCCCAGGCCCTTCCAAACAGAGGCTCTATACTGAAGGAAGGTGTCTTTAGCTGGTATTAGTTCTAAGTACTACAAATGCATCAGCTTTCAAAAATAAGCAGCTAATATTATTTGACAGTGTTACTGTGTAAAGCAGGAACTACACAGAGGGAAGATGTTTCCCACAAGTCAAGTAAATTCCACAAACCCCGCTGTCTGCATGGAACAGAGACACCGTACTCTTATTCAGACAAGGCTTAAGGGAAATCAGATTTTAGTTGTCTCCAAAAATAAACTTGCCTAGAGTTTAAATATCCTTTAAAAAAAAAGAAATAAAATTTATTTCTCCCCATCATTCTGCTGTGAAATTAAGACCTTTTCCCCGTGAGAGAAATAAATTATATAAAATGTAAAGCAATAACATAAAAAAGCCATCAGAGGTCCTTTCAAGCATAAGAGCAAATCATAATATGGCAAGACAATTCCCATTAGATGAATATCTAAAAAAATACTAGTTGGTTTTAGCTCTGTATTTCCATAATCTAAATAAAACAAAATAAATCATCAAGGAACCAAGTGCATTTTGAACAATATGCTATACTATTGACAAATCCAATCCTTTGGGGGAGGGGCGGGCCGAAGGGTGATAATTAGGTTTCTTTCTTTATTTCTGGAGGAGGTACTGGGGATTGAACCTGGCACCTCGTGCATGCTAAGCATGCGCTCTACCACTTGAGCTATACCCTCTCTACCCTGATAAATTCAACCTTAAAATAATGAATCATTTACAGAACTCCTACCAACAAAATCCCAGCTTTTGCAGTTCGTGGAAATGAAGGCAAAATGGTGCATTATAGTAGAAGAGGAAAGTGAGAAAAATCAGCAAGTAAAGTAAGAAATTACATGTCACCTTCAACAGCCCTAACAAGAGCACAGCACGGACATTTCACCCAGCAGGAGGGAGGGAGGCCAGAGAGGGAGTGAGACCTGCCCCCCGCCACGGGGAGGGGCCACCTGGGGCTCAGGGTGTACTGTATGACTTGCTATTAATTTCTAGATTCAGTGGGGGGAAAAATATTCTTGAAAGCTTGGCCTTAATGTGCAGTTGGAGAAATATTCCAAGGTAAATCAGCTCTTATATGCCAAACTGCTGTTTAAAAGTAATTTCCCCTTTTCTATTTTCAACATGAATCCCTGTGAATTGCTACAGGGAACTATATTTAAAGTGCAAATCAGAGCGGACAATAGAAATAAGACTCTTCTCATGATAAGTTTAAGTAATTCAAGCCAACTAATGTGTTAGCACATCTATCCTGAAAGATAAATCAAATTTTACAGCTAACCTGGGCCCAAGATTTATCGACCAGCCCAAGCCCTGGAGTGTGAGAAAACAGGAGAGAAATTAATTGCAATGCATTTAAGCAGCACTAATCAGCTGTCTTCTGTTCCGGGGAGGGACCAGGGACCGGCCCAGGCAGGAAAGGTGACTGATTCTCCTGTTTTATTCCTCCCAAACTCCTCCAGTAACATCTATCATAGAAACTGAATTAAATACCAAAAAACAAAACCAGTAAGACGCTAAATAACCCCCCAGGGGGTGCCGCCAGGGCTGAGTGAGATGAGGCAGCAAGTGCTCTGAGAGGGCTCAGCGGATACCAAAGGCTCAGGAGGGGGTCGCGGAGATGCTGGTGGAGCAAACCAGCCGTCACCGTGGGTCGGGCGGGCGTGTGTCCCGCACACAGGCCGGGAGGAGGAAGCAGAGGGAGGGCAGCCCTGCCATCCAGGACAGAGCTCACAGCACCCGGGAGCCTGCGGCCAGTGCCCCCCCCCAGGCTCAGGGCTCTTCCCGGGCACAGTGGGAGGGAGCACCTGGGGCCCGGGTTCTTTGCTGTGACCTACTTTCCTTAACAGGTCCCCCCCACCTCCCACGGCCTGCACAGCTCCTCCCCAGCAGCTCCTGCTCCCTGGAGCTTCCAGGTTTAATTCCAGGTCCTCCGAAGGGGCCTTAAGCTCCAGGATGCATAGCCTGCAGCCAATTTACTTGGTTCCAAAGACCTGCTTTGAAGATAATCCCTGGCAGCAGAGGGAACAGAAACAAACATGCTGGCCCAGTGACAGGCCTTCCCTTGTCCTCCTCGGACAAATCCACTGTCCCCAGAGCTGCGGTCATGAAGGAGGGGAGATGCCACTCAACCACGGATGGAGGGCACTTCAGTTCGCAGGGCTGAGAACAGAAGGACAGACCAGCTCAGGCGGCTGAGGAGCTAATGGTTGAGCCCCTGTAACAGGCCCAGGATGGGGCCTGGCACACGCGAGGGGCTCTGGGTGTGAGCAGCAATTGTCATTACTTTTATTAATTTATACTTTCGTTTTGTTCAACAGAAAATCAAAGAGCGGCTGCATGTGATATGTGCCCTGCATTCGGCTAGGAGCCGGGCAGACGATGAATGAGCAACTCCCCAAGGAGCTAATGGTCTAACTTGCCAAGCCCCTCAGTCAGCAACCAAGTGCCGACGGGCGCCCTCTGAAGGCAGCCGTTCTAAAGGCACCACCGAGGGAGCCCCCGCGGGGAGAGAGGGCATCGCACTGGCAGGGCAGCGGGGAAGCGAGGCCGCCAGAGCGCGGGGCGCTGCCTGCAGCAAGCTCGCCTCGGTGCTCGGGGACGTAAACCCCAGGCAGCAGAGACTTCAAGTGCAAGAGGAGAAGGCCTGGAAACAGGCTTCTGCACACAAAGCACATTAAACAGTCCGGTGTGACCTGGGCAGGGACACCTGGGGGTGTGCCCGGAGCAGGGACACCTGGGGGTGTGACCTGGGCAGGGACACCTGGGGGTGTGACCTGGGCAGGGACAGCGGGGGGTGTGACTTGGGCAGGGACACCTGGGGGTGTGACCTGGGCACGGACACCTGGGGGTGTGCCCGGAGCAGGGACACCTGGGGGGTGTGATCTGGGCAGGGACACCTGGGGTCTGTGATCTAGGCAGGGACACCTGGAGGGTGTGACCTGGGCA